ACCAGCTGTGGGCTCTGACCCCCTTCCCGCTTCACCCTCTGGCTGCCCTCGCTCAGCCCCGGCAGCCGGCACCTCCGGCCCTGCGGACTTGCGCCAGGACTCCCCTTTTTTTTTTTTTTTTTTTTTTTTTTTTTTTTTTTTTTTTTTTTTTTTTTTTTTTTTTTTTTTTTTTTTTTTTTTTTTTTTTTTTTTTTTTTTTTTTTTTTTTTTTTTTTTTTTTTTTTTTTTTTTTTTTGTGTGTTGTGTGTGTGTGCCCTTTTTTTTCTTTTATATTTTTTTTTCCTCCTATAGTATTTGAATGTATGGAAGTGAAAGAAAAGCGCGTCTCCTTCAACGTGCTCAGCCCAGATGTGCAGTGCCTGCGAGGCTCACCACTGAGCTGGAGCACTTGGGGAGTCCTCTCGCCAGCGTCCCCTTAACCTATCCGGGAATTATAAAAGCTGAAGGGGTTTAAACTGGTTTAAGTTAGCAAACTGCATTTAATTAGTTTTACCATATCCTGTAACCTGAATGAAATGTATAATATTTAAGACTAGAAGAGTTTTATAGTGTTTATGATTCACTGAATAAATATTTGGAATCCAAACTCTTAGTAATTCATACTCAGGTTTAAGGACTGGATATTTACTGTTGGGCAAAGGAACTAGTTAAGAAAATAGCTAAAATAGTCAGTGTTCCTGTCAACTCATTGTAGAGTTGGAGTTTTGTTTCAGATTTTTCTTTGGTAGAGTTTTTTTGGCTTACTGTTTTCATATTTGAAGAAACTCTTGCATTTGCATTTTAATACAAATGAATTATCTTTAGAATAGGTGTGAATATAATGCCGACTGCAGAACAACAGAAAAAAATCCCCCCTTCCCAATATTTGTGGCCTTGAGGGAGAAATAGTCTCAGCTTACTTTACAGTATAATCTGGTATTTAACTTTTTTCCCAAAAGAAAGTTTGTGCTAGAAGCTACATGTTATGATTCTGTCTTGCTATAATGAAATGCAATTGCAATTAAATGGGTAACTGTACTATTTGGTGAATAACCATTTTTATATGAGGGAAATCAAAAGCTATTTTTAAAAAATGTGTTTCCTTCTATAACTTACATGTTAGAATATGCAAAATTTTCAAAGTTTTTTTTATGCAATTTTAAGGGAAGTTAAACTCTTTTATTGTGCAAAAGTGTTTATTTTTGTTTTAACTGGAGTTATTTAATTTTTCATGTTACATTTTTAATATTATGTTATTTATACTATTAATTCATATGTTTTAAGCAACTTCTGTTATAGTTTATTCTTCAGATCTTCTGAGTTAGTTGTTGCCTTTTGCCACAATAGCATGTTTTCCTGTGTTTAGGAACCAACTGGTGAACCATCTCCTAAAAGACCAAGAGGAAGACCCAAAGGAAGCAAAAACAAGAGTCCCTCTAAAGCAGCTCAGAAGGTGAGATTATTAAAGGGACTTACTAATGCTGGTTTTTCATCAGCTGGTAGGAAAAAATCCAGTCATTTAGGCTATGAACTGTGGGGTTGGAACCCTTTTAATAATGGAAGCTACATAAAGCATGAATTTTGCATTTTTAAAATTAGAGTTATCATGAAGACCCAAAGTATGGAACATATAAGGGCATCTTGCTTTTTGAGTAGTGTACAGGTTAGTGAAATAACGCAATGTATTTGGTGAGAAACCATTGAGATGTCCTGAATCTAGTAAGGAAATCAATATTAAGGATATTATTTTCTTCATTACAGTTTTTGTAAGAGGAAGATTAATTTCTTGCCCACTTACAGTTGTTACTGCTACAGACTAAATCTGTATATTAAAGCTGAGTGCTTTGTCAAACATAGGTTAATTAGAAGTAAATCCAATTACGTGTTGATGGAAATAAGTGCATATATTGAAATTTACAGCTTTAAAATGTGATGCTAAAGTAAACTGTGAGTTACAGTAAAAGCCTGCTGTATCTTGTTTAGTAATCAGTTTCAAAGAGACTTTTACTGGAAGTGTTGTTAGTCTTCTGAACCACTACTTCTGCTTCATAATGGGAGCAAACTTTTATTCTGTTAGTTCTGAATTAGCTATAGAAGCTCTCTGAAGTCACTGTATTTACTGCATGGACTTTACATCACAAATATAGTAATTTAATTTCATTTGAATTGGGGAAAACACAGCATTAAAAAACTATAGTGTCAAGGCAAATAATAACATTCTCTAGGAAATATTTTAGGGAAGAGAAATAGTTGTGTATAGGCTTGAAAACAAATATGGGAAATTTGGTTTATATTGATGGTTATACAGCACTTAGCACTAATTTACAGGTACTAAATAGGAAACAAAAGCTTCCAAAATCTGGTAGTGAACTGTAGAGTTTAGATGTGTCAGTATCTTTCAAGGTGTGTGACAAAACCTATCTGAAAGGTATTTTTGTCCTCATCTAATTATGGTTCATTTGCCTATGGTACTGCCCAGAATTCAGTTTATAGTTTTCAGTGTTATAAATTACTGTAGCAACTACTGATAAATATTAAATCGTTAGGAGGTGACTGTGGCTTCATGTCTGTTTTGTTTAAGATGTTTTCAACATTTGTGTGAATTTTCCAACTCTTTAAATTCAGATTTTTAATTATTTTTTTTATTATTTTCTGGGCTGGAAAAAAAAACTAGTATATTCTATCAAAAAATTCACGAATTACTAAAAAATGCTTTACAGGTTAAGTATTTAAAATATGTCAAAGTCATTCTTAAGGTAATGTGCTTAATCTGTAAGGGTTTTTTTTTCCTTTGGACAGTAAAAGCATTCCTCAGATTTACTTTAAAATAGTTTAAATGTCACTCATGAGAAGAGGATCATTTTTTTAATTAGTCTAGCAAATCCAAATGTGAGCATTAGTATTTTAAATATTACTCCTAGTAGCGTTGGCTTTCCTAGGAGAAATATTTGTAATAAGATTAGATTTTAAGTAATTCATAGAAATGTGTTTTTAAAAGATTCTTCTAAAAGAAATACTAACATTGTTTCATTTACATGAGTTATTTGGAAATCAGTATAAATGGAAAATAACTTGAAACATTCATCTATGTGTAGGTTCATCAAGTCTAGAGTTTTCCAGATGATTCTGGTACATAGTTGTGTTTTCTTAATCTAATTTACAAACTGAGCAATTTCCTTGTAACATTTTGATTTTCAGAATGCATCAAGTTACTGCTGTAATTAAAGCAAACCCTTTTGGGTGTTGCTAATGTAAAAAACTGACCAAAGACCACGTGTCTTTTTTTATAATAAAAAAAAAAATCTTTGAGGGGTATGTAATTACAAGTCTTACTGGTTTCTAGGTTTGTAGATAAAGCATATAAATGTTTGATAAATCCTCTAAAACATAAAACACTTATAAAGCCTTACTAGAAGAAAGCGACTGGGATCCCATTTCAAATAAATATTTTAACTTTTTCCAAATTGATAATTGACCCTTTCTAAAATGGTTCAGCTTCTCACCAGGCATCTCAAAGTATCTTTTAATGTAATATTAATTCCAATAGTTTTTTTGACAGTACTATGCCTGGGAATGTTTTGGCACTGTAGGAAAGCTTCATTTGGTGGTGAGGGTATCACCTCTAAAAAAAAGGATTTATGTTTGATTTTGAGGTAAACATATTTACACATACATATGCATGCATAGATTTATTAGGATTTTCTCCAGCCTGTCTCAACTCTTAAAAGAGACCTGTGTATCTTAGCTTAAGTCCCTCTACATGTGAACCTGGGTGTACTATACACCCAACTGGAATTTGCTGGAATTTCTAAAGAATAATGTGTGTTTCAAAGGGAGCTCATTGAAATGCTTTAGAGTGTTCACAACATGTTACATAAACGTTGACCAGGAGAACCCACCAAGCAGCCATAAGAAGGCACTCATGATTAATTGATGGGGTGTTCTCTTGCAAAGCATTACACATCACAATTAAAAATGTATTGCACATTGGCAGTGAGTTAAAAATACTCCAGAGCTGGAGCTTTGTTTTGCTGTACTTTAAAAAGGAAATACCTTTAAATCAGCTGATGGACAATTTACCCTGGAATCATGGTTGTGTTGTGTATTTAAAATTTCTTGGTTGACAGGATTTTTTTGTTGTTTTGTTATTTTTTTTTTTAAGTTTTCAGAGCTTATGTTTGGTCTTAGTAAACTGGCCTTGGGGCATCTGAAAACAAACTGCTGGGTAGGAAACTAGCAGTGTGAAACTTGACAATGCATACAGAATGTTGCAAAACTAACTGAACAGCTAATAATGTGGCAATTACTCTAATTTTAGGTAATATGCCTTTTTTTTTTTTTAAGCCTTGCACATCACCCATGTCTAACTTGTTATGAATTGGACACAGAAGGTAAACTGTGTTTTATAGAAGACCAAACCATTTCTCAATTGTTTAATTTTCACAAACAGAAGGAACACAATGTGTTAGCAGATGAGAAGAGATAGATGAAAAAGATTCCTGATCATCTTGCACTTAACTCCCCACAGTTGGGTTGTCATCTGGGTCTTTAAACAAGTTATTCTGTTATTAATTAGAAATATGTGTAAAAAAAGAGCAAAATGTGAAGTGGTTTTTCTTTCCCCTAAAATACAACTAGTTTTCCAGGAAGATGCTGGTGGGGATCTTCCTTTTTAATTTCCTGGGTGTTCTGTATTTGAGTTTTATGTATTCGACTGAGCTGTGTTCCCAGCCCATCAAATTTCCCTTTCAAGGGCTTTTCTTTCTTTAGCTGCTGTAGTTTGGCTTGGCAAAAATACTGTATAGGCATAAATATTCTCCTGATTGGAAGCAGGAAACACATTTGCGAGGTTAAAAAAAGAAGTGATAGATACTATGTTTTTGTCTTTCAAGAAATTGTCAAGGGATTGTCTCAGGAATATATAATGGTAAGAGCTCTTCAGTAAAATTTACCTTCAGTTGAAATATGTTGAGTTTTGTTGTAGTTATTAGTGTAGTGAGATACACTGAAAATACCTACAGAGCTTGATAGTCTTCTGAAAATCAGAACTTTTGATCCTGTGTGTGACTATACTTGCTACTGTCTCTGCATTACATGGCCAGAGTTTGGTATGTAGAAGTGCATGTCCCTGGGTTAAGCAGTCCAAAGGTAAAAAAAAACAAACAACAAACAGAAAAACAGCAAACCAGCTAAGTGCATGTGACCAGGACTCTGCCTTACATTCATTCACAAAAATCTTCCCTGTGCTTCTTTCATTTTCACCAAACCAGTCATTACAGGTTTAAAGGGAAAATACAGTCAGATTTATCAAGTGATTGTAGCATGATTATTGCACTGAAAAAGAAGAGATCTCAAAATCAGGTATTCTGAGCAAGATGGGGAAAGCAAAAGACTCTTGCTTAGAATTAAAATGGATGAAGCAGGATATTTTTGCAGGAAAATGTGATATTTTTGCATTTATCCAATGCAAAAGTTTTTTTTTTTAAGAGTTTTATTTTTACTAAATGACTGTGGGGTTGTTTTTTTTGGTTGTTGTGTTTTTTTTTTTTTTTTTTTTTTTTTTTTTTTTTTTTTTTTTTTTTTTTTTTTTTTTTTTTTTTGAGAGGGACACGTTCCTTTGCAAGTGTTTTGACATGGTTTAGTAACAGTGATCTTCCTCCCAAACTCTTGCTTATTTCACCTGACTTAAAGCTCTGACACATTTTGTTTGAGATCCCAGCAGATCAGTTTGCAAAGTGGATAGAGTTCTTCAGATTTGGATTCTGTTGCATTTGAGGTCTTCCTTGACAAAGGATAGATGCCCAAAGAGTGCTTTATAGCCACTCAATTATTTATACTTGTCTTGTCTTGATAATTGCTTTCAGTAGTACAGCCTCAGTTTCTGCTTGGGCACAGCGCATTTTTGCAACAAGGAAGCAGAGATGATGGGCAGTCAAGTCCAAGGGTTGACTGGAGCTATTTGTAATCAGAGTTTGATGGACCTGTGGTACAGGGCTTAGGTGGATTGCAAATCTGCCTGGAGTCTGTTAGCTCGCTTCCAGACAGCAGTAATTGGAATGGCAATCTTTCTCACCTGGGACAAATAAAAAACATTTCCCACATAGATCCTGTCCTTAAAAGTGGATCAATTTAATTTTGTTCCTAAAATGTGACATATCAAAATCGTTGTATTCATATTATAGTTTATAAGAAATTTCATGTTTTTTCTTGGAACATGTTTTTTGTTTGATAACATACCCAGCCCTTCTTAAAGTCTGGTGATTTCACATTTTAGCTGTATGGAGCAAAGTCATGCCTCATAACATAACACCAAATGTTAAAAAACCCCTGACTAAACACCACCTTTGAGTGACATGTCACTCTCTCTGGGTTTGCCCCTAGCTTCAGAGGCAACACTTCAATTAAAGCGAAAGCCAACAGACTGATGTGTTTCTAATAATGCAAATACCTGTGCAGAGGAAAGGCAGTGTTTGGGCACTTATGTATTCCTTCTCTTAATTGAACGTTATATGGAGAAACATTGTATTATTGATCTGATATGCAGTAAAACATTTCAAGTGCTTAAACTAGAAGACATTCTTGTGCTGTTGGAAAATATAGAAGCTGTGTTTGCAAAATGCAAACTAAAAAACAATGTAGGGAGAAAGAATTGGAGTATTTTCCTAAACTTCATGACTTTATCATTACCACTGTACTGGCACTACTCCTTTTTGTTGTTCCAGAAGTGTTTTGTCTTTCTCTTCTCTTGGAAAGGACATGCAAACATCCACTTTGGAGGTTCTTGTCATTCATTTTCTGCAGTTTAGTCTGTGAAAATCTTGCTCTTTGCTTACAGAATTGCTCTGTATCAAGACATCATCTCTGGCATGCCTGACTGTTTGCTCAGCTCACCTCTGGGAAAGATTTAGTTTTGATAAATACTGTGGAAATGTTTTTCTTCTAACATGAGGTAGAAGTCATATACAGCAGGAATTTAGTGCCTTTCAATTGAAAGGTCCCCAAGCACTTGACAAACTGATACCCAAACTAGCCAGCAGGAACACCAGCCACTTCCGACATGGACCGTCCTCAGTGGTAAAGCACAGCACTGCTCATGGCAAGTGGCCACACTGTGGGACAGTTTATAGCAGGAGGCAAAGATTAGTTATTCAGAGAAATCTCTCATGTTCGCTTTCTAGAGACTAGATAAGTAGATTATGCGCTGTAGTTAAAGTTACAATTTGTGTCAGGTTTGTAGGAACTTTAATTGTGAGACAAAGTAGGTTTTGTTTCCAAAAAGTTAATTCTTTTTTAATAATGCCTTTTTTAATAGAGTTTTGGAAAAGGATCTTTCCTTCAGATGTGGTAATGCATAGAAGAAAATAAATGGCATTAGTGCTTTGATAACATGTCAGGTGTTGATTTGTTAAGAACAATTTTAACCAATATTTTCTTTTAAGATTTATGTCCAGTGTTTCATGAACTAAACATAGATGCATGGGGCTAAAGCTTATCAAAACTAAATCACATCTTTTTTTTTTTTTTGCATCCGTCACGTTACAAGGTATAAAGAAATGAACTCTTATAGGAAACAAAACTCTGCAATAGACAGCTACAGGATATAGTAAATGCACTTTAACAAGTATTCTCATAAGAGGGTTTCACTTTACATGTAACACTGGTATAAACGATTAAAGCTCAAGTTTACTCTTTTAACAAGTCTGAGTGATAATTTTGCCCTTTAGGAGTGTGAATTTTATTTTTCACAGCTTTCTTATTGGCAAGGTATTTATTTCAAAGTAATTGCGTTTAACTCACAGGGCAGTTCTTTTTGGTAGAGATTCCTCCACTAGTTCCTCAGCTCAGGTTCTCTTTTAGAGAGATCCGATTTACACAGCATTAGGTTACAGTATATGTTACAGAGATTGACCAGCAGGTGATTTATTTAATGGCACAGTTGATTTCTAAGGGCAAATCAAATACACATACAGTTAACTGGAGAAAAAGAAAAGCGATTCACGTGTATTAGAAGTCTTCATTCTTGGGGACTTTGTATGTGGCAAATTCTGCCCTGACTACAGGTAGTGGCAAAATCTTCATAACCCTCAGTGGAACAGGATTATTTACCTGGTGTTGTGTATGGATGGGCATAGATTATCTAGAGAAAATAACCTGAGTTTTTCATTTCAAACTCTGTATGTATTTTAGTGCAGTGCATAAGTAGTAGTATTAGTAGTAGTACTATTCACGATGTCACACAGTAAATTAATGGAAGAGTTTGTAAGAGGACCCATATTTCCTTTACGTTAAGCTCTAGGAACAACCGCTGGGCTTCCATAAATATAGCTGTCACTTTTAGGGCCCTTTCCATGCTGGAAAGGAAAGGTGTGTTTTGGACAGTAAAAGGTTTACTTACAGCTGAAGGCTGTGCCTTTACCTGGAAAACTTCAAGTGAAAAGTAGAGAAGTTATTTCCCAATATGAACACAGACATGTTTGGGGTGATATTCTGTCCTAATCCATTTCATGCATGAACATAGTGAGACTAAAAAAGGAATTAGAGGTGCTATAAACTGCTTTGACCAGGCTTGAAACAGGCTGTATTTTTAATTTAGTAACTTCAAGTACTTTTTGATAGCCTGTGAAAGACTAGATTTGATGTTTCTGGGGTTTTTCAGGTTTCCAGACTGACCTGCATTCCCATTCTCAGCCTGCACGTTCCATGGCTGGCCTAAGTCCGGGCACCCGGGCTCTGCTGTGGACTCTGAGCAGCTGGGTGTGGGTGGCCATGCTCCTCCATGCCCTTGGATACAGTGTGGGTTAGGACTGGGGGCACCCTTGGGCAGCAGTGAGGCATTGCCTGGCCACACCGGCTATGAAATGTCAGAAAAAAGAACATAATCACATTCTACCAGAAAACACATAGATTAGGCAGGGGGCCTGGTGCCACCCAAGAGATATAACTGTAGCTAATGTTACAGGAAAGGAATTCCTAGTTACCGAGGCTATTAAGTAATGCTGAGGTATAAAATATGCTGTATTTCTTTTCCCTTTACAGGGAGCAGAAGCCACTGGTGAAAAGCGACCCAGAGGCCGGCCCAGAAAATGGGTAGGTATTTCACTTCCAGGTTTATTTGCTGTGTTATAACCATGTTATTAAGTACATTCTTTTAGAGAACAATAATTTCTGTTTCATTTGTAAAAAAAGAGCGTCCATCTTCTGTGTCTGTTTGTTCTGGTGGATTGACTAAAGGGTTAAGATAGCAGAGAAGTTAACCACAGCTTCCTACCTTTAGACTCTGGTAGTTTGCTCAAGACATTTTACAATTAAATGTTTGCTGGGAGTGAATGTTTATGTGTCTCTTATCAGCATGAAAAAAGGCACAACTCTTCCTTCAAAAGAGAGTAACAATGAGATAACTGTTCAGTAATTGAGTAACAAAGGTTAAAGGGGCACTATCAGACATCAGAAGGAGATAAGATTCAGATGTAGTGTGCACAAGATAATGTTTAAAACCCAAAATGTCTTTGTCCTACATTGCCTGGAAACATGCATATTTTCCTTAAATCCAGCAAGAAAGAGTACAGATGAACAGCAGGATACTTGCACTTCGAATTTATTTTTTCCATTCGGAGCTGTTTTCATGCCTCATATATTTGTAGTGACTGGTAATACGTTTCATTAAAAGTTTCCGCTTTACCTGGCCCCATTTAGTCTGTAGATATGTCTATCAGACACGTGTTTTTATTCTTTGACCATGGAAATATTTCAGTCTTGGATACTTGAAATTCTGTGTTTTCACTGATGTTTACAGCTAATGAGAGTCTGCTTGTGTACCTCTCATCTTCATGTCTTTTACTTATGCGTGGGCTTTCATAAGAAAAGTGATTGGGATGTCACTTGGAAAACATGATTGGGTATTAGAAGATACAAAGGTGTGGCTGTGTGCTCTATCACAAGTTAATATTTCTGATTTCCCTTTTCCAGTTCCCTTTCCCTTTACCTAGTCAACATTTTTCTTTAAACTTCTTTTTCAAATCCACCCCCACCCTCTCAATTTTAATCCCTTTTTTCACTCTGCATTCTCTTTCTTCTCTGCAGTCCTGTCATTTTCCCCCTCATTTTGTTCAGTTCTTTTGCATAGCTTTTACAGACCTGTAATAGTATATGCTTGCAAAAGCCTAAACAACACCAGAAGGTACTGAGAACTACAACTGAGGTTCTCAATAATATCAGCAGCTGAACACAGGAAAGTTAGCTTTAACAGTCACTTCAAGACCTAGTTGCATAGTGTTGTCCACTGTGTCCAGTGATAGCGTACCCCAGGTTATTTCTCTGGAGAAAACAAACCACTACATACTAGATGAGTTGCTTATACCTGTAGTTTTCAAGTCAGGCAGTTTTCAGGGATATGAAGAAGCTCATTGGCTTTAGAAAAAAAAAAAAAGGTTTATCAAAACATACCTGTGCTGGTGATCCTCTCGTAAGTAGCTTGCAGAAGGCAAATGCCAAGTGCAGTAAAACATGGATCAGCTCCTGTCTGCTTCCTCCCATCTGGCTCAAACCTTGCACATGTGGATGCTGAGTGTTGCTTGCTTGATCTTCACCTTGGGTGCAATCCCAGGGCAAACAGACTCTGGTCTATAAGAGTAAATAATTTATAGCAGGCAGATCATCCCTACTGAATTAGGAATGTGTGACAGGTGAATAGGGATGGTTCAAGAGTTTGGGGAAGAGGGAAAAGGCAGCAGTCTAAAGTGTTAAAAAGATTTTTCTCTTCTGAGCACTCATAGTTAGAAACTAAGGCGAGTTTTCCGTGAAAAGGGCTAAATACAGCGCTTATAGCATCTTGTTTCGCTTTTATGTTTGTATCTTTATGGGGAAGAAAGAATGGGCAGTGTCAATGGAGCATTCAGTATGGAATGGGCTGTTTGTCAGGTGAGGAATCTGATTTGCCAAAATGGGAATTACTGGTTATCTAGTAGATGTGTGCATTACTTTACTGTGAGACCAGTACTTACAACAGTTTTGTTCATTTTTTTGAAACTAATATATATTTTAAAACTCGTTTTTACTTTGCTGTTGTGCCTGTTGAAAAGTGTAGTCTTTTTATTTTCTTATTCCAACTATATGATTGCTTCTTGTGATTTTTGGAGATAATGCTCCTATCTACAGGTTACATTGAGATAATTTTACAGACCATTATAATCAAATATGCTTTTCCCCCCCTCTCAAACTCTTTCCAGTTTAAATTAACTTCATGGCTTCCTTCTCTGTACACGACAAAATAGAGAGTGATGTTATATTTTCCTCCAAAAAGAAATGTGGTTAAATTATTAGCCAATATGTTGCCAGCTATAAGTAAAGTTTGTATTTGAAATCAAGGGAGGATTCTGCCTGAAAGCAGATGGTACAGAATCATCCTTTCTGTTTAGACATCCAACATGTACTCTGAAAACATCCCTTTTTATCATCCATACTTCAGTTGAATTAATGATTATGTTCTTCTTAATCCAGTGTATTTATGTATCAAACCTTAATGATGACAGTTCAGAATTAGCGAAAGTAAGGAGTATATAGAGTGTTTGTTGGTTTTCTTTATATTTTTTGTTTGTTTGTTTTGTTTTTGTTGTTGTTGGTTTGGTTTGGTTTGTTTTTTTATTGGAGAGGGCAAAATTCTGCATGGCAGGTATTTTCCTAAGTTTGTAACCCTGGAGGTTCTCTGTCATATGTTGTTCATCAAATTGTAAAGTATTATTTCTGCTGTTTCCTTCAATATGCACATGCAGAGACATATGAGCTTACAGACCACGGTAGAATTCCGGTAGCTGGTCTTTCTGCTGGTTCAAATTAAGTATTTAATGTTTGTGACTCACAGTATATTTATTTATATATTATTTTTTAGAAGAGAAGTGAATCTTGTTTGACTAGTATAAAACTGAGAAGGGGGAGGGAGAGCCCAAGTGAAGAGGGTAAGGTTCCCAATTTATCGCAAGCATATGAGACATCAGATGATCTTTTTAATGCAATAATGTGTACTTTGCAAAGTTGTCAAAGGAAAGAAGACCCTCATCAATAGAAAAGATACTAAAGATCAACAGAATCTTCTGCAAATAAAATATTTAGCTACATAGAAAAGCCTTCTAAATGTGGAGAGCTAATTGAATAAAAGTCGTGAATGTAACAAGGTCAAGTAGGTGGGAAATGAACATATTTGGAAGAAACACGGTGCCTGCTGGTTTAAAACTGATCTTCACAGTAGGTTGCTGCAAATGTGAAATTTACTGAAAGCTGTAAGTCCTACTACCTATTAACCCTCTTCAGGGGGACCTTGGTACTCCTTAATTTTAGATGTTTAATTGCACTGATATATTCTGGGCTCTTTGGATGTATCTACATTAGTCTGTTAAGTCATGAGTGTGCTTTGGAAATGCATCTCCTAATTTTCCCCACTTACTGTATGCATTGTGTAGCAGTCCCAGAGCTCATTGGCTGGACTACTTTCAAATGAAACAAAATTGGAAGATGTGCTGCAGAAGTGCAGTCTGGTAGACATTCAACCCATAGAACTAGGCTAGAGTGAAATAAAAACCCCTTGAAAGGTGCATAGTGTGGAACTTAGGTCCTCAGCACCAGCTTTTTTTTCTCCTGTGGTCCATATTGTACACTATAGCCTTTGATGCTTGAAAAAGGCTATGAAGCAATCTGGTTTTCATTAGCAGAATTATTTTATGTAGCACAGGCATAAAGTCGAATTCATAGCCATGGAGATTCACATTCCCAAAAGTCAGTGAAGGGTTTGTCATTGACTTCATCAGTGCCAGGTGTTTGCCACTGAGGTCTGATGCTGCTGCTCATGAAATCAGCAACGGTCTTGCTCATGGCTTCACAGAGCCCTTTGTAAAGAGCCATCAAAGGTTTTTTATTTTATTTTATTTATTTAATTTGTGTATGCCTATAATTTCACTGAAAGCAAAAGGCTGAAGGTTTATGAGTAGATCAGGAGACTAAGTAATCAATTACTTTGCTGTTTGTTCCAAAGAAGTGCATCTAAAAGCCCTGGAAATCTCATAGGCTTCTAGTACTCTCAGGCATCAGTTTAATGGAGAAACCTGAAACCTAGTTCTGAAGTTGATGCTTAAAAGGGTATTTGTTTTTAATTTGCAGTGTTTGTGTTATGTCTTTAGGTAGAATTTTTGGGCATTTCCACATTATTTAAACTGAGCCACAGACTCTCTACATGGCGTAGCAAAATTGCTCCAAATCTCCAAGGAATGGTCCAGAGTTTTTATAGCCTTGAGCAGGACTTGGGTGAGGAGGAGAGATGGCTGATGCCATGCCATGTAGCTGTTTTAAAGGATGGATAGGTGAAATTCTAGGATCTGCATGATTGTGACAGCAGAAGATGGTGACTTCCTTGACCAGTGACATGCAGGGTGTGTGTGAAATATCCACTTGTGCATCTCATCACTGATGCCAAAGTAACAACTGGGACTTGTTCAGAAAACTTATCTCTCTTTCAACAATTTTATTTTCTGGTAGATAGTACATACAGCACATTTCAGGTTGATAGATGATAAAAGATAATCAGAAATTAACTTAATTTTCTTAAGCAGAAGTTTAATCTGATCCAATCACAATCATCTGGACAAGCTGAAAGCCTAGAAAAGCCTTTGGGCAGACCTTAGAGCAGCCTTTGGTACCTAAAGGGGGCTACAAGAGAGCCACAGACAGACTTTTTACAAGGGCCTGTAGCGATAGGACAAGGGGGAATGGCTTTCAACTGCAAGAGGGTGGGTTTATGTAAGGTTTTCAGAAGAAATTCTTTACTATGGGGGTTGTGAGACCCTGGAGCAGTTTGCTCAGAGGAGCTGTGGATGCCCCATCCCTGGGAGTGTTCAAGGCCAGGTTGGATGGGGCTCTGAGCAACCTTGTCTGGTCAAAGGTGTCCCTGACCATGGCAGGGGTGTTGAAACTAGGTGATGTTCCATGTCCCTTCCAACCCAAACCCTTCTATGAACACAGTAATTTTTGAAGCTTCCTTTTTCAATGAGGGCAGAATTTCACTTTATACGGAAAGTCAGTTTAAGCTGTTCTTCAGATTATTT